GTTGTTGTTGTTGTTGTTGTTGTTGTTGTTGTTGTTGTTGTTGTTGTGTTTGTTGCTGTTATTGCGTTTGGTGTGGTTGGGCCGGTGTGGGTGGGTGAGGGTGGGTGTGGGTGTGGGCGTCGTTGTTGTTGCTAGAAGCCCAAATAGATCCAAATAGTATTGAAGTCTGAACACCCCCCACTGCCCACGCCTGCGGTTCTTATTGTACTTCATTTTGTCATAGAAGTCCTGCGCGACAAGTTGTCACGCTCGAAATGTTTCGGAGAAATGCTGGGAGGTTCTTGTCTCCTAAGAACTCCTCTGAACTTGAGGATGACCTGTTTATAGTGCAAAGTTGGTCTTTCAGTCCATAAAATTAGTCTAAGCATCTCGTTCGATTGGTCGCGGCTAGTGGTTGCATTCAATGAACTTCGGTTCTATGCCACTACCTGCCTAATTCGACCTTGTGTCGCCTCACCTCTTACATTGTCATGAGCTCATGTCGGGGATGGCAGGTCTCCCTCCGGTATCCGGACGAATCATCCGGTCAGACCGTCTTCATGAGTCTTCATGAATCTATCAGCGCAGCAACGATACATAGCCTACGGGTGAACGACCTCATTTTACTGGAGATGGTCATTCAAAAGCACACTCAAGGAGGTAAAAGAACGGGTTTACTGGGTCAGACTGGACTTGCAAGGATATTATATACATACTTATTGATTAATCCCTAGGGCTCCAACCACCTCCTGAGAAGATGGTTGGGGTGGATTTGGGGGGTCTAACCACCTTCTGATCATGAGGAGATGGTTGGAGCCCTAGGGAATATACTTTGCGTCGCCACAAATGACATACCTGTAGACATACCATGCTTTCTGGCCAGGACGGCCTCATTGCCACAGCACTTTCAAACACTAGGTGAGGATCGAGGTGAATCCTATCACCTCTTACAGTAGCTGGTTTCAGCATGTTGCAACTCACAATATGAGTCAATGAGTTCAAAAAACCCAAGTAAGGTTGAACATACGAACAATCGTCCCAATCATCCCAAGTTCAACCATCTAACATGTTGAAACCGCCACCCAAGAGCTTCTGGGTATCCGACTTACGTCACTTGCAGCTCTTTCGCACCGACGACGACGTCCGAACCGACGTTGGCCCGTCTTCGCGCGCTCCAGACTCGGGCGCAAGCGTGGCTCGGTCAAGGGGGGGTGCCGTGCACTGGCCGCCGAAGATGGAGCAAAGGTCAAACCTGGCGGACCGAACGGGTCAGGGAGATGGTCATGACAAAACCAATGGTCGTCAGGCGCTTCAGGACCAGGTAGGGTCAGTAAGGTCGACCAGGTTGGGATCTGGGTCAGACCTGGACCTTGTAGGGTATCCATGGAAGTCAAAGTCGATGATTTTAAACATGGTCTGACTGACGGTGACGAGATTCGGAAGAACCTTTACTTCAGTGGTGCAACATATGAGGACTTCAAGGGAAGAAAACGTGGCTGCAGGGGTCAATGTAGTATGTAATTGCCAGCCACTCTGCCAGCCCCATGGAGTTTCCGGATGGAGGATTTTGCCCAGGCCGCGGGGGAGGTGGATTTGTGTCCCAGTTATGGCCTGGCATGGCTGCGCGGGAATTGACCCGATATCCGGTTGCACGACTCCGGATGATAAATACCTCCCTGGTCGGGGGGTGCTTTGCCACCCCCCGACTATCTCTTTGCGATTATTCGAACCGTGGGCGGTTTTTACAGCTTCCCATGGCATGTGGTGATTTTACTGGCATGGAGATTCTTGCAGCTGGCCGTGCTTGAGCCCCAATGGCACTGCTTGGTGAAGGCAGGCGCTGAGGGTGGCTCGCTGCCGCTGGCCATGCAACATTGCGGAGGCGGTGTTGTTTGCTCGGAGACCTGTGAAGGTCTTGGGCCAAGTGGATGGCAGGCAGTCTGAGGTCTCCTATGTCAGTTTCGATGGCGACCAGGCGAGTTTTTGGGGCTCTGGATTTTGCTCGCGTGGGAAAGCAACTGGCTGGACAACCTTTGAACAATTTTGTGGCAGCGTGTCCGTGACCTGGCGTGAGTTGGTGGCTGCGGCCTGGCTGGCTCCGGCTCCAGCTTGCTTGTGCTCGCTGCCGGCTGCCAGCCTCTTGGCTTGCTATTGCTGCTGCAGTGCGTCGGCCGGATATGAGATGCTTGGTGAGCGAGGGCTCCCCTGGCATTTTGGTGCACATCAGCTTCATTGCGAGGCATGTGGTCATCACATCGTTCTCTACGATTGGCTGGCGGCTTCTGAGACGGCATTTTGCTGTCCGGGAATTTTGTCTTCCACCCACGCTGGAAGTTGTTTTGTACAGGTTTGCGAGCTTTGTCTCTAGCTACCCAGCGTGAGGGTGGGAAGCCCCCAGCGCCAATGGCGCCCCAAAGTTGCCTCCAGCTACCCACTTCGGTGGGCCCAGGCTGTGGCAACATATAAATGCCGCACACACACACACACACACACTTTGTGTCCCGGTTGGTGTTTCTGGTGCTCGCATGAAATGTTTGATCCAGGTGTCTTTCGATGACTCCTAAATTCGGGTGACTTCTCGAGATTGGACTATTGGGTCAGAAAGACCTCAATGCCAAAATGAGTTCAGCTTTTGGCGTATGATAGCTGGCTTGGCACCCAAACTGAGTAGACATTCCGAGGATGTTGCTGGGTGCCATGCGGTGTTCTCCGTCCACTCCGCCCCCCCAACTGAGTGAGCTTGAGTCAGCTGGAGGGTCCGCACACCTCCTCGCCTCGCCCCCACCGTCGGAGCCCTTCCGCCTCTGAAGCCATTCCTCCGCATCTGCGAGGCCCTGCGACTGAGGCAGGTGACCTGAACGGTCTCACCGAGCGGAGCGCGTTTTCGCGGAGAACATGACTGCCTTGGCAGCGGATCGAGTCACTGTGAGGTCCTGAATGTAGGTGTGGTATGCTTTTGACCGTCGTCGGGCCGGGAAGTTGGACTATGGCTGGGGGTCATGGCGGGGGTTTACGGCTGGGGGTCTCGCGATGGGAATACACACCCCTGACACTGGGAGACCGACTGCGGACCGCGCCCTTGGTGGACTGGTCGGGTGAACATGGTTGAGTGACACATCTCCTGTCACCTGCGAGCATGACTGACCAGGTCTTGTACAGCCAGGATGGTGGTACAAGTCCCAAAAACCTACTGGGCCTTACTAGTGCTCAGCCTTGTCCACCCCACCAACTTCCCACCCCAGGGTAGTCACCCTATGATATAAGTCTCAAAAAACATCCGTATGGATCCACATACCTGAGAAGATGATTGGAGAGTATTTTAGTAGGCTTTTATTAGGCCTCAGTCATACCTTCTGAGAAGGTGGCAGTGGATCCACAAGGCATATGTATGGAATAGATCGATCCCTCAAGAGCCTGGAGATGCCTGGAGTCTCTGGCTGCACGATCCGGGTCACTAGGGATCCAGGATCTATGTCTCTTCATCATGCATGCACGATCGGTACTCTAGTATTAGATCGTTCTATTCAAACAGGACACTCAGTTGGACTGAATGGTGGACTTGGATAGGACGCCAAAAAGCTGGGCCACGCATATACACATGGTTCTTGGAATAATGAGAAAACTAGATGATGGACGATGGATGATCATTTCATTCCATGCTTGGTTGAAACAGAGCTGGCCAACGGACCCAATACACCTCGGTCGGGCGGCTGTCGATGGCATGGGCCACGCCCATCAAGGCGCCATAGCAGGCGGCCACCACGGGCACCAAAAAGATGGACAGCACCGTGGTCATGATGTACGCGGGCCCCGCGGAAGTCAACACCAGCAGCGTGTCCTTGGTGATGGCAAAACGTGTGAAAGCTAAGTGGACTTCCGATGCGAAGAAGTGCGGATTCGGCAGGTTGCAAATGGGTGGATGGATGATGGTGGATGCATGTGCGAAAGCATCAACCACAGCCTTCCTTTTCCAACCATGTCCAAGAAACAGATCATTTGGAGCACTTGGACCTGTGAGTCGCACCCAAGATATTCATAAATCTTCTGTAAACCACTAGGCCATCTACTAAAAGATCTATATCGCCACCAGGTCGATTGTGGCTGATGCTACACCGAAAACCGATTGGTGTCGACCACTCAAAACCGCGCCCCGCTCCACGCCGCTTTTGCTCAGGCACGTCAGATGCGGTGACCACACCACGCACCCAACCATCCAAGAAAAACTTGTAGAAGGAGTCCTGCAGGTGCTCTGACTGTCCAGTTTGTGATGCCAAAAGCTTCAACAAAATACCGCCACCAGTCACAAAGGGGTGCTGTCCATGGAGGTTAGGGGTGCCCACTATCCACTCACTGGATGGGACGTTTCACACCACCCCTTTTTGGGGTGGCTGGCGATGACGACGAAATCGGTCCCACCAGTTGACTGGTCAAAGTCGTCATACCCGACACTCGGGTCTTACGGACCAAGGACCGACTGGGTCCAGGAAAATGCAAAAACCAGTATCTCAAAAAGGTTGGTAAAGGTCCAGGTTGAACTTGGCCCTTAGGACTTGTATAGTGATATTGTCATATGAGTCATATGTTAATATAATAATGCTTTGCTCGGGTCCCCGGGCGGTCTATTTACTTTGAGGTTTTGGGGTACCCCAGTTTTGTGCCATAGCTACATAGAGATGCTCAGCGCAATGAATCTCTTTAGCATCAATTAGGCTCAGGGACACCCACTGAAAGTGAGAGCCTATCTCCATTCTGCCTGTTCAAACGTGTCCAAAATCCGTCCTCCATGTTGCAATACTTGGCAAGGTCTGCCTGGCCACAACTGGAGGGAGAGCGACTGGAATGAGTACATACTCTTCAGTGATTTTAACTCACATTCCCCCTACTTCTAGAAACATGAGAATCAAAAACACCAAAAGCATCGCGGAACACAGGGGGGTCACCCATCTGGACGCGGACCTGTGGAATGGAGGTCCCTCCTGGACTGAGTGGTTTCCACCATGTGGCAGGTTCCGTCGAGACGGAAGGCCCTGAGAAACAAGGCCCGTGTGGTCCAGTGGAAGGTCGCCAGTGGAAACAAAGCCTTGGGAGGTCCAGGTGTTCCAGGCTGGTCAGAGACATGTTTGGTCAAGAACTGATAAGGGACCCTGGGTCTTCCCTGATGTTCCGAGACCAGTCCCCTGATGTTCCGTGACCAGTCTCGTGAACATTCTTCAGCTGTCTCCTTCAACCAGCCCTGCCTTGTAATAGTAGAAGAGTTTCGAATCGACCCGCGTCGCCAACACCCGCGCGGTGCTCATCACCGGGCACATGTCGGTGGAGGACCTGAAGGAGTGAACTTCCCATGGTTGAATGGGAATCATCGCATCTCTTGGGTTCATTCCTTGGGTTCATTCACCAGATTTTGCCGGAATCATCTCAACAGCTGGTGAATGAACAGAAATTGTTTTGCCTCTTTCTGCGCTATCTAGAGCTTCACAGCTGTCGAAAATCCCAATAGATGTGTGGTCTACCTGTTGTGTCGACTTGGAGCTCCGAAAAACATGGAGTGTAAGTGGCAAAGGATTTGCAGTGCCCCAGCGTTTTACTCCTGGTCCGTCCCTGTCATGGCAACATCCCGAGGGAGGTTGCCAGGTACAACCTCCAAGGCAGTGTGGAGCTTTCGCCCACCACACCTAACATCCCAAGACTAGCCCACCCACTGGTACCAGCACAAGTTTTCGATGGTTCTTGACTGAGGACCAACGTTATGCCACAAGAGGCAAATAGTCTGGGCTGATGGTGATGCAGGAGGTCAAATACAGAGCGACGCCCACCACCTGGGGGCGTGCAGGAGGATTGGTTGATGTTGATTTCATTGTACGTCACTGACTGCAGATCAGCAGAAACACATAATTATGTACTTATACCCCCCAAGGGGCATCCCAAGGGGCATCGCCAAAGGGACAAAACCATGTTTACAGTGTTTTGGGGGATTGCCCAGTTACGCAACACGTTTTGCCCTGAACAGGGCGGCAATTGGCCATGCTCTGTTGGATGTTGTTCTCCTTTTTGGACTGAATACTGTTGTTTGTTTTCCCATGTTCTGCTAGGTTGCTCCATATGCAGCTTTAGGACATGCTTTCTTCTCAGCAGTGTCGTCCCCTGAGGCACCTCTGAAGAGCACTTCGGTGGCTGGGAAGGGTCACTACTGCAAACTGCTTGGGCTTGGAGTTCGTTCGGCTGTGGTGTCCGTTGGTTCTTTTTGCTTCGGTTCGGCTGGGCTTCCAACAGGGTCAGGAGAGCGAGTCGGCCCAGAAGAACGGACCACATGGGGAACCTGAAAACCATTGAGTTGTAGAGGAAAATCGTCTTCCAGTCTGGTGCATCTTTTCAGGTGTCTCTTCCTGGGTCTCTTCCTGGGTGTGAAAATCCTGTAAAACAGGGTGAGTCGGCTGTAGTCGGCTGTATGAAACTCTTGCGCCCTATCTGCTGGCACAATGCTTAAACGGTCTAAAGCTGTCGTACTCGAGAATGGGTGCATGGGAGCGCGTGTCGCTGTGTATGTTCACTCATCAATCCACCGCCCTCAGAGCTCTTGGCTCCACCAGTGGAGCGGGCTGCAAAGACGCACCCATCAGATGGGTCAAGGTGCAGGTTTGGCACCACACGAGGGGTAGCCGTACCACTTGGCTGGGGGGAGCCGTCGTTCCAGTTGATCTCATCAGTATCTGTTGGTCACAATACCAGGAAGTCATGGATCCACCCCAGGCTGCGGTTGTGGGTGTCCAAGGACGACTGAGTTTACATCTAATATATTCTTATAAAAAACTTTCATATGGTAAGGCCAGAATCCTTGATTTAAAAAAAAGTCAAAAAAAAAGTCAAAAAAAAGTCAACTGGAAAAGTCAAAGTCAAAAAAAGTCAAATTGAAAAGTCAAAAAAAAAGTCAAAAAAAAAGACAAAAAAAAGTCA